ACATAGGACCAGAACAGGGCATTATGCAGAAACGCAAAAGTCGTACAGCATCCGAGCTTTTCAATACGATTGGACAGTTTAGGTATGCGCATTCCACATAAATCACCAATTGATCATTTATCAATAACTTGTTTTTCAGAAGAGGTTCCAATGTCAATTTCAACACGATCAACGGTGCAAATCAACAGGGCTTTCTCACTGACCGAAATATCAGCGGCAATACTTTGTTGGCACATTCGCCACTTCATGAGAATCAAGGCGAACGAGGGCCGCTGGCCTCTCTATTGTACAGTCAAACTGAAAGCCATGAAGTGCCTGTGGTCAGTTCTTTTTCACTCCAACATACGATTATGTTTGCAGTGTAGGTAGTCCACTTCAATTACGAACACCTAAAAACAAACCCCGGGATTAACTGGTGCTATTAGCGCTTCGTAGTGATAGCTTAGCTGCGGAACGACCTGAAAGTGGAAAGGAAAGCAAGAGAAATCTTTGGGAACGCTGAAATTAAGGCCTTAACCTTCAATAAGGTCGGATGTGGTACGATGGCGAGACAGGGCGGTCAAAGAAGACAAAACACGCGAGAGATCACGCGTTTGAGAGAGCACGCTGATCTCACCATCTCTCGCGGTGGGTGGGAAGCGTTGCAACGGGGTCGATGGTTGCAGGCCCGTAAGGATTAGCGCCCTAACCGCGCAATTTTTGCGACGAAGCTGGAGTGATCTAGGTAGGTACGGACCTTACAATTTCCCTCGCGGTATCCCTCCTACTAGTCGGGCTAATCCCGGGGTTTGCCTTTAAGGGAAATACTGGAACTTGAGATCACTTCTTTTCTTGGGACATTTTTGCTTCGCGGCCATGCTGCTTGGCTTCTACAGTCTGTCTGAAAGAGGGAGCGGATATCGAGGACGTATGCTGCTCTAGGGCGTGAGCTACATAGTTGCTTTTGCACGTAACTTTGTACATGGTTTCCTATAACCTCTTCTACCACTCACAAATCCCGGAGTTCGGCAGTTCCTAACTTTGGAAGTATTGGGGGACAGCCAATCCGTACAAAGGTCTGAATTTCACACGTTATTTTCTTTCTCAGTATTGTCGCAATTCGTACGCTTTCATAACGCGCACAATGTACAATACTTGTCGTGCGAACCAAAACGACTGGATGACATATCAAGCAGATTCAATTCTGCATCATAGCGAAGGCATAACTGCTAGTTACAGCATTCACTGGCGAAACGTGCTGAGGTTTTGGCTTCAAAACTTCATCTGGATTGGCGAGCTCAAAGAGGTAAGCTTATCGTTCTAGCATATTATTTATAATTTCTCTGAGCTTCACATTTCGTCAACGATTTGAGCTTGATTTCCTAGAAAAACCAGCTAGTTCGCAGACTTTACATGGCGCGATATCAAGGGAAAGAATGCGAAGGGATAAGTACAATAACCCTGAGTTCAAAGATTC